TTAGGTTAGTTAAGGTTAGGTAAGGTTAGGTTAGGTTAGGTTAAGGTTAGGTAGGTTAGGTTAGGTTAGGTTTAGGTTAGGTTAGGTTAGGTAGGGTTAGGTTAGGTTAGGCTTAGGTTGGTAGGTATGAGGTTAGGTTAGGTTAGGTTAGGGTTAGGTAGGTTAAGGTTAGGTTAAGGTTAGGTTTAGGGTTAGGTTAGGTTAGGTTAGGTTTATTATGAGGTTAGTTTAGGTTAGGTTAGTTAGGTTAGGTTAGGTAGGTATATGAGGTTAGGTTAGGTTAGGTTAGTGTTTAGGTTAGGTTAGGTTAGGTTAGGGTTATGGTTAGGTTTAGGTTAGGTTTAGGTTAGGTTAGGTTATATGCGGTTAGGTAGGTTAGGTTTAGGTTAGGTTAGGTTAGGTTAGGTTAGGTAGTATGAGGTTAGGTGTTAAGGTTATAATGAGGTTTAGGTTAGGTTTGGTTAGGTTAGGTTTGGTTAGTTGGTAAAGGGTTAGGTAGGCTTGGGGTTAGGTTAGGTTAGGTATAACGCTAACCTAACGCTAGACTACACGCTAACCTAACCTACCTAACCTAACCTAAACCTAACTAACTCAATCATAACTACGCTAACTAAACCTAACCTAACCTAACGCTAACGCTAAACCTAACTAACGGCTAACTAACCTAAGCCTAACCTAAAACCTAACCTTAACTAACCTAACCTAAACCTAAAGGGGGGTTTCCGCGCAATAAAACTACAATATCTGCATATACTATATATATAATTATATATTATATATATATATATATATACTATATATATTATATATATATATACATATACACACCACACACACACACACACATGTGTCAGGCATCACACATGCAGCACAAACAAACACACACACACACACAACAATAGTCACACACACACATATATTATATTATATAATATATATATATATATAGTATATATATTATATATAAATATAATATACATATATACATTATATATATATATAGTATATATAGTATGATATATATATATATAAATATATATATATTATATTAGTTTATATATATATATGTATATAAATATATATATATATATTATATATATATATATATATTATAATATATATATATATATAAATATATATATATATATTATCTTAATATACATACATATATATATATATATATTATAATATAGTATATATATATATATATATATATATAATATATATATATATATATATAGTATATATCATAATATAGCATATATATATATAGTATATATATATATATATAATATATAATATATATAATATGATATATATATATAATATATATAGTAGAGAGAGAGAGAGGAGAGAGAGAGAGAGAGAGAAGAGAGAGAGAGAGAGAGGAGAAAGAGAGAGAGATTTAGAATAGATAGATAGATAGATGTGTAAAATATATAATATATTTATATATATAATATATATATATATATATATATATATATAGTTATAATAGTATATATATATATATTGTGTTTTAGCTGGTGTTTTGGCTGGTGTTTTGGCTGGGTGTTTTAGCTTGTGTTTTGGCTGGTGTTTTGCTGGTGTTTTGGCTGTGTTTTGGCTGGTGTTTTGAGCTGGTGTTTTTTGGCTGGTGTTTTGGCTGGTGTTTGTAGGCTGGTGTTTTGGCTGGTGTTCTTAGGCTGGTGTTTTGCTGTGTTTTAGCTGGTGTTTTGGCTGGTGTTTTTGGGCTTGGTGTTTTGACGCGTTTTAGCTGGTGTTTTGGCTGGTTTTTATGGCTTGGTGTTTTATTCTGGTGTTGTTGGCTGGTGTTTTAGCTTGGTGTTTTGGCTGGTGTTTTGGCTGTTGTTTTGGCTCCGTTGTTTTTGGCTGGTGTTTTAGCTGGTGTTTTAGCTGGTGTTTTAACTGGTGTTTTGGCTGGTGTTTTAACTGGTGTTTTGGCTGGTGTTTTAAGCTGGTGTTTTGGCTGTTTTTTGGCTGGTGTTTTAGCTGGCGTTTTGACAGGTGTTTTGGCTGGTGTTTTTGGCCTGGTGTGTTGGCTGGAGTTTTTGGCTGGAGTTTTGGCTGTTTTTTTTTCTACTTGGTGGTGTTGGCCTGTCTTTTTTTTTTCCACTGGGTGTTTTGGCTGTTTTTTTACTGGTGTTTTGGCTGGTGTTTTGGTTGTTTTTGGCTTTGTGTGTTCTTGGCTGGTGTTTTGACTGGTGTTTTTGCTGTTTTGATGAGCCTGGGAATAATCCAGTGAAGGAAGATCCTGATATGAGAAACTGGGATAGCATGGTGTGGGTGGCATAGGGAAGGGTAGGGTCCAGTATGAATGTATGTGAGGGCGCAGGGATAGGGTAAGAGGGATTGGGTAGAGGAGGGGATGGGGAGATGGTTATTGAGAGAGACAGGGAGAGGAGGTTGGAGTGTGGTGGAAAGTTGGCGGCACGGTCGGCTGAGATATTGAGGGAGGTGTGAAGGTACAGCACGTGGGAGGGGGTACGATAGGGATGGGAGAGGGAGTGGAATAGGGGCAATGGGATGGNATTATTATTATTATTGCTCTTATTGGCAGAGCATTTGGCAAGTGGGCTGCCGTACTTCCATGTAATGCATTGCGTGTCCCGTCAGTATGGCTGGGAGTATTGTCGTTCATTCGCTTGTCATTCTACAAATATTTTCGGGCTTAGAAGGAATACACCCTAAATATACACAGATATTATACACATATAATATATAATATAATAATAGAATACACAGGTCTTCAGACAAAGAACTTACAAGCCCGTTGTCTTTTTTTGTGTGGCTCGAATGCTGTCAGAAGACTCCTTTAATACGTCCAACAACGAATTCCCGAAGGCTGAAAGATAAGATAAGATAAGGAAGAGGCACTCGGAGGGGCATCCCACTCCTGCTTCAGGAAGGCGGAAGGAGGAAGGAATAAAGCAGCTTCAGTCTTACATTGACACGTTTATTGGCAGATTATAGTACAAAATATTACGCAGGAGAGCCACATGGAAAGCATGTCGATGGCAATGTGCTCTTTCTATGTCGGCAGATGAAGCCAATCACAAAATCTCTGGAGAATTTTGCTCGTTGCTCCCCCTGCGCACTTCCACTCTTGAAATCGGGTGAACGGTGTCAACCACTAATTTTAGCTTCAAAAACACTCAAGTACAATTTGTCAAGTGACATCCCGATGAACAATGGCCAAAGAACAATACATTGTTAGTTTTGACAGTTAATGGGTAGCATGCCATTCATCTCTAACTTCAGGAAAAGGGAAATTTATTGTTTTGCCTTTTGTTGTTTAGGGTTTTTGAATCGTCAATGAAAACAGCGTCACGAAAAAGTCCTTAGTAGAAATTCACTTGAACCTGCGCGTTCCAGACAGTGAGAAACCTTCGCCTTTAAGTCCCGGATCAAGAAAAAGGATAAGAACGAGAATTCAAACGGCCTCACAACACAAGATACGTAACAGACATTTCCGCATAACATGTAGTCTGATATGACAGTGCAATATCGAAAAGTAGATTACATATCCCCGAGTTCGTCGCGGCAGAGGCGTAAAAAGACGCACGGATCGAACTGAACGATCCCGCGCGGCGAAACACGAAGCCAATCCCTCGCATTGAACCGTTCGCTCGCCTCCATCCCGCGCGCGAGTCCGTGCTTCCGCCGCCGCGAAGTCCCTCTCGTTGGCCCGTCTCCTCCTCCCGCGGAAGGCGAGCGAGGCGGGAGCCGTCGCCGAGGCTCCTCCGCTCGCTCCCGTAAGGCCACCAAGCGGCGAGCGAGCCCTGGGGCCCAGACGCTCGCTGGCTCGCCGGCAAATGCTTCAGTCCAGAGATGCAGAACAACAGTGGGAAATACATACAAAGAATACTACACAAGGTTAGTGACACTTATTTTTATATATCTTTTTTTAAAACACAGATCAAGCAATTTGTTCAGTCGGTTAAAGTCCCACAAGTAAAAAGCTCTAGGATGAGTGACAGGATATAAGCAATGTAACGATAATCTTTGAAAAATCAAACTGAAAAAGGCCTCCAAATACTTTTTTTTTTTGGTTTGGTTTTTGTTTTTGTCATTTTTGAAAAGGGAAACCCAAAGCAACCCCAAAGAAGACACATTGTTCCTATTACCGCCATCTTTCCTAAGTAATATCAAAGGCGATTGAGAAACGTCCCTTGGACGCAGCACGGTAAATGTACATTACTTATAATTCTATGACCCAAACTTGCTCTTAGAGACACACTCGCCACGCGGACAAGAAGAGAGTGAAATTTTGTCGTTTCTCGAAGGACGGGACGTGGCTGCTGCGGCCTGATGCGCTTGGAGGGGTCGCGCGGCGAGGCGTCTCTGCCAGCAAGCGCGATCTGCAGGCGGCCAGGACGAGGCCACAGTATGTACAGAGACTAAACTACGGCGCGGGAGAGAGTTCGAGACTCCCCCGGCGCTGTCTGCCACGCGCGCGCCCTCGCACATGCACGGACAAACGAACACTTATGCATATACATACACTCAGGCGTGCATGTATAAGAAATACTTATACAATACTCCAGGTCATTCATCTCATCCAAACATCTCTTTTTCATTCTCTTCCTCATTCTCACAATACTGTGAGTGCACCACACACACACACACACACACGCACACACACACACACACACACACGCACACACACACACACAACACCCACACACACACGCACGCACACACGCACACACACACACACACACACGCACACACACACACACAAACCCACCCACACACACACGCACGCACACACACACACACACATACAGACACACGCACACGCACACACGCACACACGCAACACACACACACACACGCACGCCCATTCAAGAAGCACAAATGTCCGGTGCTTCCACGAATCGCAACAGAATAATTATCTTTAAGAATACAAAAGCTAGCAGACACTCGCAGCACCGGACTCACTGAGCCGGCGCGGTCTAGCAAAAATACTGGAAGAGTTTAAAATCTATTTTTTTTTCTTTTTTTTTCTTAAAATCATATTCATGAGTGCGGGAGGATACTGTTTTTAATCAGTCAATCATTCCTGAGCCTGTGTAGCTCAAGGCTGATTTTTTTTTTTTTTTTTTTTTTTTTAGGGGGGGGGGGGTCATGGTGTTATTGAAAAAAAA